CACACACACACACACACACACACGCACACACACACACACACACACGTACGCGCACACACACAAACGCACACACACACACACACGCACACGCACACGCACACACACACACACACACGCACACACGCACACACACACACACACACACACACACGCACACGCACACACGCACACACACACACACACACACGTACGCACACACACACACACGTACGCACACACACACACGGCGGGCGAATTCCGTCATGGGCTCGCCCCGGGCAGGCAGGAGAAGTTCCCAGGACTGGAGGGCACAAGAAGCACCCTGACAAATCTGCACCCCGACGATTGAAGCCTTCTAGAGCACGTGCCCAAGGAGGGATCGAGTCAGGCAGGCTGGTTTCGTGAAGCGGCGAGGGCCGTGTAGGCAAGGCCAATTGTGGGGGTTGGGGTGTACAGTCGAACCTAGGCAAGAATGACATGCTTCAAGAACATGGGACTCTCCGTTGGTCGACGAGCGAGCACAGGCGCCAAGCTGAAGAACCGTCGGGTGTACCATCCCTCGGGATGCACAATAACATCCAATTAAGCACGAAGAACAATAGGGTACCCTCCCCGACCGAACCGAACTTGGTCGTATGACTCAGTCCGACTGCACTCTCCTCCCATGAAGGAGACTCGCACGAGATTCCAAATGTCGTGACTGCATCTGCGAACGTCAACAGCGGCCCGACGTCGGCTGCGCTCGGAGAGACGAGCACGGGATCAGCTTGAGTCTTCAGCTTTTTCTGAGAATCAGCGCTCGAGGGGGCAGCTCTAGAGGGGACACATCGAGCTTGTCTCGGCGACACTTCGCCGACACATCGGCGACAGGCCCCGGATAGTGACATCGGGCCTTCCTGGGTGGGGTGGGCTATCGGGCCCCCATCGGCGCTGAATGGGCGATTGGAGATCGACGCACTCCCCCCCGCTGAACTCATCCCCCCTTACGCTGCCCCTGACGTTCGTGGGCCCCATGTCAAGCCAAGCTCAGCGCGTGTCCCCACGAGGCCGTCTCCAGGTCCCCCAGACGTTACAGATCGGCCGGCATCTCCGCCAGCGCAGTGCTCGAGCGGCCCAAGACACCCATGGCCCATCAAGTCACCGTGTCTTGGACGTCAGGCAACGTGTCGCGGCCCATGGCAACCCTGGCCTACCTCGAAAGGCCACAGACCAGTACGACAAGGTGGGGGAGCAAACGGAGAAGGCGAAGGGGGGCGGCAGCGGGAGGGGGGAGGGAGAGGAGGGAGGCAGGGAAGGGAGACGGGGCACAGGGGCAGGGAGGGGGGGAGGGGGGGGGGAGAGGGGGGGAGGAGAGCAGATGGGGGAAACACGGGAGGGGCAGGTTGCGGACGGGGGAGGGGCGGAGAGCGCCAAGGGGGAGCAAGAGCAGGAAGAGACGCCGGGGCGGAAAGAGCGAGAGCGGCTGGAGACGGGAGGGGATGAGATGGAGCAGAGGCGGGGGAGAGAGAAGGCGGAAGGGCAGGAGGGCAACGAGGGAGGGAGGGGAGGAACAGCGCTGGACGCGAGGGGCGAGGGGAGGTAAGGGGGCAAGAGAAGGGGGAATGGCGGTGGTGAGACGGATGCGTACTGCCTCGCACGCTTTATCTCTCCCCCCCTCTCCCCCCTGTCCACTCTAGCTCGTGCTTCCCCTCTCCCCCCCGCAGCGCATCGATGGCGACAAAGCTTGGCAGCGACACGCTACTGCAACAGAGAGGACATATTGCAGCGTGCTGCCCCGTCTCCTGCTCAACATCCTCCAGAGTTGCCCGTGGGTGGTGCCTGCGAGAAGCGGGGGGCGAAGCTGGAGCCTAATTTCGTCTCGAGCGAGTTCATTTTAGCTACAACGCTGGAATCAGGAGCGCGCTTCTATACTTTCGGCGAACATGGGCATTATGGGGGGGGGAGGGGGCAGGGGAGGGTATAGTGTAACGCCTCCCCCGCGACGTGCGCACGGCGGCAGTGCCCGGAGCGCACTGGGGGGGGAGGGGGCATTACTTTGTAAGGGGGGGCGGGGGGCTATGATGTCCATTATGTCCCAAGCAGTAAAGAAACACGCTCCATTTTAGCTACAGCCATGCAATCAGGGCTCGTGCGAGAAAGTAGAAGTAGACAACACCACATAAACATAAACTGGTGGCACTCCGCCCGGATCCAAGGAATCCGCGCGGAGCGCCACAAGTTTATGTATTTGTGTTTTGTCTTCTTCGACTAGTGAGGTCTGAACGAATCAGGAAGGCTGATGCGACGGGAAAGGATGGGGGAGACTCGGGAGACGAGCTGGAACGGCAAGAAGATTTAGGCAGCAGGACGATAGCAACGGAGGGGCCGAGAGGGAAGAGGCGGTCCTGGATGGCGAAGTCGCCCACAGTCTGCTCGGAGCCCTGCTGCAAGATCTTCTTCACCGCCTCCGGCGACCTGCCCCGCCTCCACTCTGCAAAACTACCTCTAGGTCGGGCGTGCCCCCTGCAGGCCGATTCTGGGCGCAAGATCAGAGACAGTCCAAAATAGACTCAACCACACATTCCATACCAGTCGTAAACTCGTCCCCAGACTATCCTTAGCTTATGCTTGAGAATCTGTGTGCGCTCTCCTCCTGTGGAGGGACGGGCCCGACCGAAACCCAAACGCGATCCGGTCACGGGGCCCGGCCGGTCACAGGGCGGCGGGCCCTCGACGCGCCCTTCTCTGGCGAGGGGGGGCGGCAGAGGCGCCCGCGCGGCGAGAGGCATATCGGACGGGGCGGGGCCGCGCGCCGGCGGCGAGCGGGGGCCTGCCGTCGCTGGGATCGGGCGAAGAGAATTATGCACATGCACCGGTCCTGGCAAGGCCCATCTTTGACCCAGGATCGGTGCATATGCCTTCCTGGCCAAGGTAGGAGGGCGTAGGCACCGGTCCTGGGCTCAGGATGGGCCTGGCCAGAATGGGTGCATGTGCATAGTTCTTTTTCCTCTATAGGACGTCCATTTCCCGTGCGCTCTTTTGTTTTGCTCGATGGTCCAGGAGGGTCCTCGATGGATCTCGCCGAGGAGAAATGCACAGGTCCGAGCGATGCCAGGGGGGGGGAGAAGTCGGAGGGAGAAGGCCCACTCGGAAGGCGGCGGGCCCTCTCAGCAGCCCTCAGGCCCTCAGAGGCTTTCCGAGAGGCATTGTGCGTATCTTCGGAAGAGGCTCAGAACACATCTCGGAAGGTCGGGGGCCTTCCGAGCTTGCTGAGAAGGCCCGCCGGGCACAACAAACGCCCGAGGCTGCTCGGCAAGCACGTCGTTTATAGAAGAAGGAACCATAGCATAGACAAAAACGTTTGGGGCTCCGCGCGGAGCGCGCCAGGGGCGGCGCCAGAGGCACCGCTAGAGTTGCCCAGCGCAGATCCAAAGAATCCGCGCGGAGCGGCAAAAGTCTCTGTTTATGCCGTTGTTTCTTCCTCGAGTCACAAGAACGTCGATCAACAGGGAAGCGAAGAGTGCCATAAACATCCAATCCGAAAAATCCGCGCGGACCTCCGAGTTGTTATGATTTTGCCACTCTTCGTTCCCCTAATTAAGAGCGTCAGAATATATCATTATTCGTTTGTGCCATTGTTCGTTAACCCTATGCCATTATCCGTTCCTCTAATCAAGATGTTATGGTATGCCATCCTTCGTTAAGTATTCGTTTGTTCTTTCTTCCTCGGATCACAAGAGCGTCGATCGAGACCATGGCCCCCCTAGCCGAAAGCCCAAGGCCCCGCGGAGGGATCTCAAAAAGACGAAGAGCACTCCAAGGGGAGGGGGGGGGCCAGCGGCGAGGAGCACACGAGGGTACCCCTCCAAGATCATGACTGTTCGCTTGACCCTCGTGCCAGCTATGACCATCGTTCCTCCCTCCTCCCTCCTCCTCCTCCTCCTCCACACCATTTCGCACTCGAGAATGTTGAAGGTAAGTACTTCGAAGTGGCGTTCGTGCCTGCGAGCCAATTCCACGCAACGAGCGGCCCAGCGGACCAGCGTCGGGGATGGGCCCGACCCGGCGAGGTGATGCACTGCCAGGCCCCGAGAGGATGTGGCAAGTGCGGTGAAGGAGGGAACTGGGCCAGCAGGCTCAAGCGCCGAGGTTGTGGCAATGGAGCGCCAGCGCGGATTGCTCAGGCCGCGCGCTCTGCTGCCACCTCGGCTCGCGGACAATCCAGGCAGCAAGGTGCAGGCCGGCCCCCCCTCCCCTCCTCCTCTCCACCACCACCACCTTCTCCTCCTCCTCCCCGTCCTGATCATCCCCGCCGCCCTCCCCCAAGTGTGACACGAAGGGTTTCCACAGCGGCTGGGGGAACACATGGTCCGATAGTTTGGCCGAGTTCTTGCCACAACACTCGGCCACATGGGCGATTCCAAAAAGGCAGGGGGCGGCGGTGACTCGCCGTAGGCGTCTTCGTTCATACGAAGGCACATAGCACGAAAATGTGGTCCCACCGCCTCACGATGCAAGCGAGGGCGCCCCCCCGGCGAGTGTGAGGGCGTCATCCGATAAGAACGAAGGCGCCCCCGACAAGACTAGGGGGCGATGAGAGTGAGGGCGGCAAGGATAATAATGAGGGCGGGCTTCCCGATAAGAGTGATGGGGGCCGGACAATACTGAGGGGCGCCCCCGGTTAGAGCGAGGGCGACCCCATGATAAGAATGAGGGGGGCAACTGCGCTCGTCTAGTAAGATGTATGACGTATGGAATTGAATGCGTGGTGCCGCGTCTCTCTGTTCATCGGTGACTCCAGCACCTTATCGGGCCCCGGGGTCACTCTCATCGCGGGGGCACCCCCGCCCTGATCTAGGGGCGGCCTCACGCTTTTTGTGGGAGTTTTTCTTTCTTACCGGGGGCAACCTCACTCTTGCGGGTGGCAGCCTCGATCTTATCGGGAGAGACTCGTAATTGTCAGTGGTCACGGCAGCTTCTTGTCGCGAGTCCACGGCTCAAGCCCCAACCCAAAACGAGACCCGAATTACTTAACGACCACACGTGGCCCAAGAAAAGCCCCCGTGAGACAACACCCTTTCCCAAGCCGAGGGGGACCCCCAGCTCAAGGTAGGACCCGTCGAGGTGATATCCACCCCTGGCCTAAGCGAGACCTCATTCTGGTTACAGCATGGGCCCGGCTACGAGAAACCTCCCACAAGAAACCCAACCCTGAGACCCCAGGACGTCCATCGATTTTTGGTGTGGGAACGTCACGCGTTTCATTGCAAAGCCCTCGAAGCCAGAAAACATCCACGGCACCCTGGAGGCGAGCAGAGCGTTTCTTGGCATGGGCCCACCGCGGAATTCCCACCCCGGGCCTAAGAGAGGCGGGATGTAGAGACCCCCAGCCCAAGAAAGAGAAATATCCCCCATTGAGGCACGTAACCTTGCCCCCCCCCCCCCCTCCCCGTTGCACATTGCAAAACGCAAGCGAGTCCATCGTAGCATATCTCACGCGCCGCGTGTTCCCATCGCAGGGGGTGGCTGTCCCCCGCAAGGGATCCTGGAGGACGTCTCAGCGGGCTCACGCTGGAACCCTCGTGGGCCCTCCAGAGGGGAGGCACAATTGAACTCCATGGCGAAGACTTGGAAGTGAGCCGCTCCTGGAGCCCCCGTCGGGGCCCTTTGAAAGCACTGCGTGCGCTAACTATATATATATATATATTCATTGGTATTCCCTGATGTACACGTGTATGTGTATATATATATATATATATATCAACATATGTGCATATCTATAGATAGATACTTATTAAATCCATTCCTCCCCACCGTCCACCACTTCCGCCGCCGCGCACGCGCCCGCCCCACCAGCGCCACCGCCCTCGGCCGACCAACGGCCGCGCCACCTAGGCCAGCAGCTGCCCAGGTCCACGCCCGCACACCAGCCGCTAGGGTTGTGAGCAGGGCCGGACCGCGCGCTGGCGTGCGCCCAGCAGCGGCCTCCTCCGCCGCAGCCTCCAGCAGTCGCCGACCGCCAGCGCCGGCTGCCCCGCCGCCCGGCGCCGCGTCGTCGCCTGCGCCTCCAGCCAGCGCCGCCTCGCCCCCGGCCCGCCCGGCAGCGCCTCCCAGCGCCTCGAACGCGGCCGCGAGCTCGGCCACGCCCGCGGCGCCGCCCGCAACGCCCGCGACGCCGTCGCACCCGCCTCGCCCGCCGCGCCGGCAGGCGCCCCCGCCAACGACACTCCCCCCACGGGTTCCGCAGCGTCCCCCAGAACAATTGAATCAAGGGCGGGGGACAGGCGAGCAGGGCAGGCGGGCGACGCCGGACAAGAGGTGCTGGGCGAAGAGGAATCACGGGACACCGCAGGAGGCGGCTCCAGGGGGTCGTCGTCGGAGGCGGCGTCGCCAGCGTCACCTGCGAGCGCGGCCCTTGGAGGCGGCCACCACCTCGAGGGTCGACGTCGGAGGCGTCCTCGTCGACAACGCCCGCGAGGGCGGCCCGGGCCCCAGGCATGAGGGCGCCGACGTCCCCTCGGGCGAATCACGGGCCGCATGCCGCGACCAGGCGCGCCGCCCGGCGCCAGGTCGCAGCGCCGGTGGCGGTGCGGGCTCGCGCAGTGAGCGCGTGCAGGGGCACGTTCATGCGCCTCCCTGCCGCGGCCGCCATGGAAGCGACCGCCGCCGAGGCGTCTTCGCGCGGGCGGCCCCGCGTCGTCCAGACGACGAGCCGGGCAGGCGATCCCATCAGCAGCGCGTGGCGGCAAGTGCAGCGCAAACTTGCCGACCTTGCTGCACACTTAGGTCGCGGCGGAGCGCCGTCAGCCGGGCAAAAGCAGCAGTGGCGAGCACATCAGCTGGGCGGAAAATCGGCGCGGCCTCCCCTGACCATCTGTTGCCCTCAGAAAGCTAAAGGTCAGTTAAGGTTGCGGGCGCGCCCTCAGATCTGCTTCTGGCGACCGGTAATTTTTTATGGGGCCCGCCCCATGGCACAGTTAGTTCCTGCATCTAGTTTGCCCCCTAGCCTGTCCTTGGTTTGCCCCTTGACCTGCCCTTAGTTTGCCCCTAAACTGCCCCATAAATTGGTCGATCGCTCCTTGATCGTCTACGCGTTCGAATTGGGAGGCGACCAGTGAAAAGATGCCCCGCGTGGTGGTGCATCATGTGGCTGTGACCTATTGGACAGTGCCCTGCGGGGCGGCTGTTCCATGTGCTGATGGCATATGGTGCTGGTGTCCTGGGGATGGTGCCATATGGGATAGTGCCCTAAGGAATGGTACCCTAAGGGCTGGCGCCCACTGGGGTGATGCCTCGTGGAGTGACGCCCTATGGAGTGGTACCCTAGGGGTTGGCGTCCTGTGGAGTGATGCCCTATGGGCTGGTGCCCCACGCATTGGTGCCTTGTGGACTGGTGCCCATCGAAAAAGGCGGGATACACTCACAAACAAACTTCACAAACTAGAACCGAAAAATGGCTACAGGAAGTAAGTCGG